TGTGATGGAACTCCGATGTATGACAAACTATTTATGAACTTGTTGTAACATGTGGCTTGCATGTTGAATCATGTACGATCTTGGCTTGTATGTTGGTTGATTCGAGATCCTTCGTGATACTCGATGGACTACCGGATTTATATGGGCTCAAGTGTGATGGTTTGACTGCCTCGGTGGTGGCCATTGTACTTGTGCTCTTATAAATTGGACGATTCTGTTACAAGCTTCTCGGTGTTTTTTAGATTATTTTGGTGCCAAAGCCCTATACCTTTTTAGGCAAGGGGCTTAGAAGTAGCAAAACGAGCCCCTTGATGCTTTTTAGGCTATTTTGGCACCAACGCCCCATACCATTTTAGGTGAGGGGACTACAAGTAGCGAAACGAGCCCCTCGATGCTTTTTATACTATTTTGGCGACAACCCCCATACCTTTTAGGTGAGGAGGCTAGAAGCGACAAAATGAGCCCCTCGACGCTTTTTAGATTATTTTGTTGTCAACCCCCATACCTTTTTAGGCGAGGCAGCTAGAAGCAGGGAAACGAGCCCCTTGGCGTTTTTTAGATTATGTTGGTGCCAACCCCCATATCCTTCGAGGTGAGGGTTCTAGAAGCGGTGAAATGGTCCCCTCTGTGCTTTTAGATAACTCTAGCGCCAACCCTCATAGTCAATGTCGATTCGCATTTTGCTTCTGTTGCATGTATTTTTGGCAACGAGATGTTACTGAGCTCTATCAAATCGTTTGGCTTCGGTTGCTTATATTTTTTTGCGACAGGAAGTCTCTGAGCTCTTATAAAATCATTGTGCATCGGTTGCACGTATTTTTGGCAACGCAGAGTGATTGAGCTCTTTGTTTCATTTGTATATTTAGATATCACAATGGATGAGGGCGGTATTCTGCGCCTGCTGATTAATTTTGATCTCATCAATTGTATTTCTGCCGATACTGGGGAGCCTTACGATGTTAAGGCGCCCTTTTTGGCTTATTCGAAGTGCTAATGTGGCGAATGAAGTGTTATGAATTCCCGGATGCATATGAGGAATGCGTTTACATGAAAAAGGAAGCCAATTGATACATATGATAAACAAATTTTCTGTTAATTTCTGCAGAATTAGTACTGACTATGGAAGGCTGCTGCCTTCAGAAAACTTCGCATGGCTTAGAAGAAAATAACTGAACAAGAACCTGCGGTACAAGAGAAAGCAAACCACATATTTTTCAAACGTTTGCCTCGCCCTCGCATATTTTTGGAGAGTCGAAGTTTTGAGCCCTTAGCCTTTTCGGTTTGCTCCGCCCTCGCACATTCTCGGAGGATCGAAGTTTTGATCACTTAGGCTTTTTCAAGTTGCTTTGCCCTCTTGTATTTTCAGAGGAACGGAGTATTGAGCCCTTAGACTTTTCGCATTGCTTCGTCTTAGCGTATTTTCGGAAGGTCAAAGTTTTGAGCCCTTGGGCTTTTCGGTTTGTCTCACCCTTGCTTATTTTCGGATGGTCCAAGTTTTGAGCCCTTAGACTTTTTGAATTGCTTCGCCCTCGCACATTTTTGCAGGGTCGAAGTTTTGATCCGTTAGGCTTTTAGGATTGGTTCACCCTCGCGTATTTTTGGAGGGTCAAAATTTTGAGCCCTTAAGACTTTTTGGGTTGCATCGCCCTCGTGTATTTTTAGAGGGTCAAAGTTTTAAACCTTTAGATATTTTGGATTGCTTTTCCCTCGCGTATTTTCGGAGTTTGAAGTTTTGAGCTCTTAAGCTTTTCGGTTTGCCTCGCCCTCGCATATTTTCGAAGGGTTAAAGTTTTGAGGGCTTTTCAGATTCACGATTTGGAGGTCATGCGGGTCCCGTCGATCTAGTGCGAGACGATAGGATTTGAGTGACAGACACAGATTAGTGATGTGTAATGCCAGTTCGGAAAGGGATAAGCTCATAACTACTTCCTTTAACCACCCAGGAATCCCGGCCTCCTCAGCCCTTCTGCTACGGTTCACTTTTTACTTTTCTTTTTTTCGTTTTTTAGCTTTTTTTCTTTCTTTTCTTTTTCTCCTCTGCGCTACGTCCCCTGTTCTTTTTCCTTTTTTCCTTTTTTGTTTTTTTGCTTCTTCGGGCTTCGACTGCTGTTTGGTGCCGTACAATCTTTTTATCCCCTACGCTCGCGCAGCGGAGCGCGTGAATCAGCCTTGTGTATAAAAATATGTACTGAAGTCTCAGGCACGCGACGTGCAGTGCTTGGCTGCTGGTGTGCTTATAGCTGCCGAAAAGATATAAAATCGAAAGTAAAATTTTCTAAAATAGCTTCCTAAGTAAAAGTTCCAAAAATAAGTGTGGAAAGAGAAAAAGTTATTCGGATAGACATCTATCGCATTATACTTTTTTTTTGCGCATTATATTTTGTTCACGAAAGCCAATTCTTCACTTTTGAGAACCATGAGAATAGATTTATGACCGACTATCATACAGGCTTGGATAGTCATCTTTAATTAATATATGTGTTTCTTTGCTTCTTGCTGCTTCTCAAATAGTATATGTTTGAAAATTATTACCTCAAAAGTTCCAAGGTAATGAACTAATAATGAATACAGGCAGAAACTGCTTATGTGCAGATTTAAACATAAGGAATACAAAACTAGAATTTGGGATAATGAGAGGCATGAGAGATTGTCGCAAACCATGAGATGTTTATCAAGTCAGCTCGGTGTGAGCGGTACGCCGGTACGTGTGCCGCGTGCGGCAAGTAAAGAGCGCTTTTAAAAGCTGCAACATGAATTCGGAGTCGATGTACATTATTGTCTCATTATGCAGTTGACGTGGTTGGGTTCCAGCGAAACAAGTAGCCCGAACTTAATCAGGCACTTCTAGCGTCCGGACAAACGTGCGTGTTTGACACCCGTGGCTACAGTCCGTTTCTGCGTCTGACGCTGCTGTCCCTTGGAAACTGCGCCTCCACTTCGTGCCTCTATCCGGATTGCCCGCGCCCCCTCCGCTTTCCGCCGGCACCCCCTGCGCTTGCCGCTCGCGCATGTCGCGTGGGAACCGCTTGCGCCCCTGCCGCCATCGCCCTCCGCTTCTGGTGGCAGCTGCCGAGCAGCGCTCCAACCCTCCGCTCCCCCACAAGCATACACAACACCCAAGCAGCTGCAGCAGGTTGTTGTGGCAGGGTGGGTCACATTGCAACATGTGCAACATCCTGATATACTTTTGAAACATTCGGATAAAACACTTACAACATAAGTACAAAACAACAGAAACATTTGCAACATACGTATGAAACACTTGCAAAATACTTGGAAACTCTTGAAAAAAAAACCATTACAAATATACGTAACATCCAGATAAAACACTTGCAACATATGTGTAAAACATATGCAACATTCAGATAAAACACTTATAACGAACATATGAAAAAACAGATGAAACATTTGGAACAAACACTTGAAACATACATGTATAGCCATTACAACATGTGCAATATCATGATCTACTTTTGCAACATCAAGATGAAACACCTAAAACACTTGAAACATAAACTTGCAACATGCGCTGGGCAAATGTCACCTTGCTACTTGGACGAGGTACCCGAGCAGTGCAGCGCGGGCACGCCGGCGAAGGAGAGCGCCGTGACGGCTAGGAGCTTCCACACGCCGAGGTCGAAGTCCCTGCCAGAGAGGTCTACGTCGTCCCCCGCACCGCCGAAGACGTCTGACTCATCGACCATGCCAGCGTCGACAAGGTTCTGTAGGAGTGGGCGCAGCATGGCGGCAGATGCGGCACGCAACGGCGAGGAGGAGTGGGGCGGGCGCCGACGAGGTTCTATAGGAGGAGTGGACGCGGCGTGGCTGCAGAAGCTGCACGCTGTGGCGAGGCGGAGTGGGGCGGACATCCGATGCAATGAAGCCGTAACGAGCGAAAGGGAATGGGGATTTTCTGTCGGAGGGATTTTGTTGCGGGGTAGAAATGGAGGAGAGAGCGTAGAGGGAAGTAGGGCAATTGCCTATTGGGTCCGATCGCTATGCAGACTCAGGAATAGAGCCGTCCGGATGCACGAGCCCGAACGACACCCTAATCATAGCATTACCAAACTTTTGCACGTTGGTGACTTACCCGTGACGTGAGAGTTCGCACTTTGCTTAACAAGAAAACAAATGTGTTGAAGCCTAACTATCAACGGTTTGTACCTGGGGGGGTTCAGAGCCTGCAGGTGACAAACCTTTCGGCATATTGCCAACTGGAAAATAATTATATGAATTGGTGATACGAAAAATCATATATAAAACAGCTAAATGCGAATATTAAAATATGTCGATCAAACCCCTTTTGTGGTTTATACCAAAGTGCGAATGATGAACTTATCTGGGCTGTACAAATGAATGAAGAATCAACACCGTCTTGGTCATACGTCATAACTAAAAGATGGAGGTCAGCTGGGATACGGTACAAATGAAACTTAACTTCACTTGCTAAGAGCAGCTTCCACGTAGCCACAAAGATGAATGCATTATAATCTTTGTGCTTGACTTAACCCGTGTTTAGTTGGTGGAAAGTTGGAAATTTGACTACTGTAGCACTTTCGTTTTTATTTGGTAATTAGTGTTCAATCATGGACTAATTAGACTCAAAACGTTCGTCTCGCAATTTTCAACCAAACTGTGCAATTAGTTTTTTTTCGTCTACATTTAATGCTCCATGCACGTATCATAAGATTCGATGTGATGAGTACTGTAGCACTTTTTGGAAAACTTTTCGTGAACTAAACAAGGGCTTAACAGACAATCACACCTTGGTCACCCGACAATCACACCTTGGTCACCAGGAGACGAGAAAAAAAAAACATTGTCCAATATACATTGTACGGACCTAGTAACTCAACACGAGCTAGTTACATAAACAAGTGACAGTGTCTGACGACAACAGAAGATTTGTACAAACTTATGTTCGCCTGTCAGCGACTAACAATCATATTATAGCTTTATAGGCACCAAAAAGCACTTTACATTCACGATTACATCTCCCTTCAGTACTCGCCGTTATGGACAGCGCCTCGTGCCGGCTTGCCGTCGCCATCCCCATCCTCCACCTTGGCGATGGCAGACTCGGCGGCGAGCGCCTTGGCCGTGTCGTAGGACGCGTGCAGACCAACGAAGAGGTAGTAAACCAGCAGCGCGGCCGTCCAGAACCCGAACCGCATGAACGACTTGGAGTCGATGGAGCCCAGGAGGAAGACGTTGATGGCGATGGACGCCGACGGCAGCCACGGCACCAGCGGCACGCCCCACAGCTTGGGCGCCCTGGCCTGCGGCACGAACGCCCACAGGCACACCGTCGACACGAACCACGCGGGCACCGTCACCGCGTACGGCACCCACCCGTTGACGTTCACCCCCCAGCACGTCGCCGTCGCCACCGACGTGGCCAGGATGGCGACGATGCACGCCGCCAGCTTGTTCCGGTTGACGACCGTGGTCTCCCCGGCGACATAGTAGCGGCGGACCAGCAGCGCGACGGCGACGAGCATGAAGATGAAGAGCGTGGAGATGGAGAGCAGGTTGGAGAGGATGTTGAGGTTGGTGAAGAAGGCGATGATGGCGGTGGCGACGAGCATGACGACGGTGGCGTTCACGGGCGTCCCCGTGCGCGGGTGCACCTGCGCGAGCCACGGCGGCATCATGTGCGTCCGGGCGATGTGCGTGAGGTACCGCGCCTGGCCGACGGCGCTGACGAGCAGCACGGTGGTCATCCCCTTGAGCGCGCCGAAGGCGACGATGTACTTGGCCCAGTCCATGCCCCTGGCCGAAACGCCACGGAGAAGGGCGCGTCGGCGTCGATGGACGAGTACGGCTGCATCAGGCAGAGCGTGACGGCGAGCACGCAGTAGAGCGCGGTAGTGAGCGTCATGGCGCCCACGAGCCCGATGGGGATGTCGCGCGCCGGGTTCTTGGTCTCCTCCGCCATGGTGCTCACGGCGTCGAAGCCGATGTAGGCGAAGAAGAGCACGGCGGACGCCGAGAAGATGCCGCGGACGCCGAAGGGCATGAAGTCCCGCATGTTGGCGGCGTCGGCCTTGGTGAGCCCAGCCACGATGATGAAGATGATCACGGCGATGTGGACGATGGAGAGGACGTAGTTGAAGCGGGAGGTGCCCTTGGTGCTGACCACGGCGAAGATGCAGACGAGCGCGATGACGACCACGGCGATCGGGTCCAGCTCCGAGTAGTTGGCGTCGAGCCCCGACGCGTGGATGCGGAAGTCGCTGGGCTGGTGGTTCAGCAGAGTGGCGAAGTAGGACGTCCAGGCGCGCGCCACGGCCGCGCCGCCGATGCAGTACTCCAGCAGGATGTTGCCCGCCGCCACGAACGCCATGAAGTCGCCGAGCTCCACCCGCAAGTAGGCGAACGATCCACCTGCCATTCGACAGCAACGCACGCATTTTCACGATTTTCAGTTAGTTCTCCAACGGAGAAATCATTGCCAGTTCGGACTAGTTCCATCCAACACATCCTATACCTTGCTAAAACTGCATGGTTTTCAGACTGGAAACAAAGAATTCACAGGCTTGCTAAAACTATTGTACTGTTTTCTCATGGAGTAAAAGAGATGATTTTTATTTTGCAACCAAGAGTCGATCATGATTAATTTCTAGATGGCGATTAATATACTATATTGGTCAAACATTTTGCATAGTTTTCATGTAACGATGCACGACCCACACTGAAATTTGGGTGCTGAAGATTGCAACAGTGGTGTGCTGGAAGATTTTTTTTTTTACTTGTTTGAAAAACCTTTTCCAAATTAAAGCATGTTTTTTTGTGTGTTATAAAAAAGAACTTGTTTGTGCCTCTACAAGGAGAAACTTGTTGCAGGAATTGAAGAAATGGTCGATATTCAGGCGGGCCGCGGGCATGCCGAAGCATGCATATGGCATTTTCCATGGGACAAACTGAAGCAGCACTTTAATTTCTCCTGCTGAAATGGCCAGACTAGAGCCAAGTCAACCGCAACATGCTAGTGAAAAAGGATTTTATGTACTGGTGAACTTCTTTTTAGAATTTAGTCACCTAATGACACGCCCAGTTGAAATGAAAGGATTAATAGCCGGACGGGTACACTCATGCTACTGACGCAGAAAAATAATACTGCTACTGACGAACGATGCAGCCGCCAAGCCAACCAAATACGTTAACTGTCCAATCTTTCTGCATCAAGAAACACATTGTCTAGTCCTAATTTTTTTGCAATTTGGTCTCTTTTTTTTAAAGAAAATTTACGTTTGGCCCCTGAAAAATGTAAACTCATCTTTGGACCCTGGGGGTCGGCGCCAGGACTCATAGCTCCGAGGTAACACGTCTCGGCGCCACAGATCTTGGCTCCGAGGTGTCTGGCCATGCACAGCAGGGCATCCTAGGTGGCGTTGACGTGGCCGGTACCTCGGAGCCACAGATCTTGGCTCTTAACTCGGCGCCAAAATCTATGGCTCCGACCTCGGAGCCGTGGATCTTGGCTCTGAGCTCGGAGCCATGGATCCTCGCGCCGAGCATGGATTCGAAACCCACGGCCAAGTTTCCCTTGCCGAGGCTGCTTTCATTTCTTCCTCCTCCCTTTCGGATTCTTTCTCTCCCTAACCCGTCAATCTGTTGAATCGACGAATTTGACCTTGGATACTTAGATTTGATCCATACATCTTCACGAGCAAGGTATCCTCTCTCCTCTTATCATTTTTTACGCATTGATTTGGTATATATTACGTTTATTTTGCAACCTTAGATACGTTATTACCTAATGTTTGAAGTGATTTTTTATTTTTTGTATTATGTAACGGTAGGATGCTAAAACGTGGTAAAGCTAGTAAGTCAAGGTAATCACTTATCATCGTGTTATATTATGTTTTCAATTATGTGCAACAAATGGAAAAAAACCCTAGGTTTATGGTTTAATGTTCATTGCTTTCGGTTCTTAGAACAAATTTGGTTCAATTGTAGTTATGCCTGGATGACCAAAAATGCCTTCGACCCATTGCCTCTGCCTAGTGGTGTTCCAGTGCCCATGTGCTGGTGCGGTGATCCTTGTAAGATAGCCAAGTCCGATGAAGAGGACATGTATAGACAGAGGTATTGGATGTGTGCCAATTTTGTGTTTAAGCCTACACTTCGTCAACGCCGCATTAACAAGATGGTGATAAATTGATGTTAATTGATGATATTTTGATATACTCCAAGAACAAAGAAGAGCATGCACAACATCTTCGGATAGTATTGATTCGATTAAGGGAACACAAGTTGTATGTCAAATTCAGTAAGTGTGAGTTTTTGTTAGATCGAGTACAGTTTTTGGATATGTTCTGACACCTGAAAGTATCTCTGTAGACTATGGCTCCATGGCTCCGAGCTCGTGGCGAGATCCACGGAGCCGTGGATCTCGGCGCCGAGCTCAGAGTCAAGATTTGTGGCTCCGAGCTCGGAGCCAAGATCTATGGCTCTGAGGTACCGGCCACGTCAACGTCACCTAGGATGCCCTGTTGTGCATGGTCAGACACCTCGGAGCTAAGATATGTGGCGCCGAGACGTGTTAACTCGGAGCCATGAGTCCTGACGTCGACCCCAGGATCAAAAATGAGTTTACGTCTCCAGAGGACAAAACCTAAATTTTCTTTAAAAAAAAGATCAAATTGTAAAAAATTGAGTTGTCCAGTCGAGGTAGAGAATTTTCGGCAAACGATTAGCAACCTTTTCATCGATTCGTTTCATGAGACTGTGACCTGCTGATGTGAAGTCCGAACTGTCTTTTAGCTCAAGGAGAATGTTCAGAGTATACTAGTATAACATTTCGACAGCTAAAACTAATTTTCCAAGCAGAAAAAAGAAAAAAAAAGGGCTGTCTACCCAACACCCGGATTTTGTGAACATGTATGCAAATAGAAAAAAGGTGGGTGTTTAGCACCCAGATAATAAGAGATAAAGGTGTTGAAAAATTGAGTTATTTTAGAGGAGTTGAACACCAAATTTTTAGTTACGCCAATCATTCCTAGCAATTACACGAAAAATGACTGTAACTTTGTAACTGGCGATTCAGGTGCTAGAGACCTTAAACACACCCAAGCTTTGTTTACTACCTCAGGAAGAAAAGGCAAAGGAAAAATTCAGCAATTCTGAAAATAAAAACGCTCTTAGCTTAGTCTGAAAGAGTTTTCGTGAGGGATTATCTAAATCAAATCTGCCCATGTGAGGTGACTCTGAGTTTGGGCCTCGTTCACTTTGCAAAAAAAGTGAACCCGATGAATAGTACCACTTTCGTCTTATTTGGCAAATATTGTCCAATCGTGGACCAACTAGGCTCAAAAGATTCATCTCGTGATTTCCAACTAAATTGTGTAATTAGTTATTTTTTTTACCTACATTTAATACTCCATGCAAACGGCTAAAAATTGATGTGATGGAGAAAGAGTGAAAAAACTTGGAATTTGGATGGCATCTAAACAAGGCGTTGGTATGCTGGATGGATAGGAACACGAAGAGACGACTAGTAAACGCTGCCACACTGTACTGGCAGTGACATTGTTGTATTGCTCCAAGAGAGAATTTGATTTAACCCCGGCTGTTTAGAAAACGAATGAAAGAAGGCCTGGTTTAGATGTCGTCGGATTCACCTCAATCTAAATGTGTTTGGTGTGGATCGAGGAAAAATTTAGTTTAAGTTTCACTTCAATCCACCCAATACATATGGATTGATGGTAGTCTAACTACATCTAAACGAGGCCGGTTCAACCCCTTCATGAATCATGGTTTCGCCTTCCTAGTTAGTTCTACCTTGAATTTCTACGTTTTTTAATTTAAAGAAACAGTTTATGATCACAATAATCATGGCCTACCAACGTTTGAAAACCTTCCATATCGGTTCCTCAGAATCGTTCTATCTTACCCGCTCCCTGTTTGGATATTTTTAAAAGAGGCAGTCATATCTCATAGTATTAAGAAAGAATCTTTCAGGAAAAAGAATACTTTTTTTGAGGAAAATGGGTACGCAAAGGAATCTCTCGGGGTATCAACCAGAATCATAGGAGGAGTACGTCAAAGAGCTGTTTCATCTCGAGGAAATGAGAGAAATGATCTGAAGCAAGTATTGTCGGATCATGTCGCCGTGGGCTTTGCTTCGTAGTACTGGACTACTGGTTTGTACTTATCTTTTTTAGCATGATTTGTACTGATCTTGTGCGTTGTAATTTGTAAGCATGATGATGATAGGTGCGCGTGCGCGCGTTACCTGCGACGGGGATCTCGACGGCGAACTCGGTGTAGCAGAAGAGCGGAGACGCCGGAGACGACGTAGGAGATGACGACGGCGGGGCCGACGTCCTTCCTGGCCTCCTGGCCTGTGAGCACGAAGATCCCGGCGCCGATGACGGCGCCGATGCCGAACCACGCGAGGTCCCACCACGTGAGGTCCCGCTTCATGTCGGCGCCGCTGCGAGCGCGCACCTCGTGCAGCTCCGTCGACTCCAGGGACCGCGACGTGAGGCGGTCCGCCAGCCGGGACCCCGTGCTCCGCAGCGCGCGCCCGTACGCCGACCAGCTCGAGAACGACTCCTCCGGGAAGAAGTCCGCCTTGGTGCACGAGCACCCGCGCTGCCGCTGCCGCACCCCGCCGCCGCCGCCGCCGTTGGCATCGCCGCCGACCGCCATGGCTGTGTGTGTGTGTCTGCCGGCCTCTTGTTGGCTTGCTTCCTGTTGTGTTGTGTGTTTATATGTATAGGAGGAGCAGAAAGGGAGAGGATGAAATGGAGAATTAAAGGAGTGGTCAAACGGATTTGATACGTGACGGGGGTTTAAATAGGAGGGGTAATAATAAAAATAATGAGAACGCTCCAACGGGAAAGCTAGCTGTGGGTTTTAAGGAGGCAATGAGGTGGCAAGAGGCACACCTCAGCTGTCCTCTTTTTCTTGTTTGTATGTGTACGTACCAGTAGCAACTTCACAGCACGGTACATGCTCTTGTACACTCAGCCATGTCTTAGGGCCATTTTGCAGACCTCCTCTGCTAGCTTATTCGGAGCGGACTCTACGGGTTCCTACCAAACGATTAAAGTGCAACTAAATTCTGGTGGGGAGAGTTGACAATAATCACTTCTCCATTTATACTACGAGTTAGGAGCTAAAAAAAACCCACTATCCATTTCCCCCCATCGCTCCCCGTTCAATCACAACTTGAATCACTTCACAATCGATTCTCACATGCCCCCATCCCGTGCTCCCCACCAGAATCACTATATCGGATAATCAAGAAGCGAAGCTCAAGAATAGGAAGAAGAGCTTTGCCAAACTGGCCCTTAGGACTCCAGTGAAAGCGTCTTCAACGAGGTTAAAGTTTAGCTGGTGTTACGGTTTTGGAAGATGATTAATTGGAGATTACATATGCTTTCGGGAATGCTTATGATGGTCCAAATTAGGTTCGGGAATGTCAACAGTTGGCGGAGCAGGAGGATGGCATGGATGTTGGACAATTCTTGAGGGTTGCATCCACATCCACTTCCATAAGACTTGATTGTACACTTATAGGAGGGTCAGCCTTTAACACCTAACCTTCACTGAAGGAAACCCTCCGTTGTTGGTAATTGATACTTCCTCCATTTCAAATAATTGTAAGTCATTATGGTTTTTTTAGGTACATAGCTTTTGCTATGAACCTAAATATAATTATGTCTAGATACATATTAGAAACTATGTATGTAGAAAAGTCAGAATGACTTACAATTTAGGATCGAGGGATGAGTAGTTGCAAACATCTCATGAAACACCTCCATCAAAAGGTTATGACATCATGTCGTCTTGATTGTCTGGTCACCTGAAATCTTTTGGAAGAACAACAAGCGGGTGTTCTGCCACTCCGCCCTTCAGTTGGTGGCCTTAGGATTCTTGGCGAGAAGAGAGTTTTAGAGCGCGCCATTTCAAAGGGTTGGCAACACTCTTTGGTGTTCATAGTCTCTCTTGCCTCCTTAGGGTTTGCTCAGTTAGTATCCAATTCGAGGGACAAGTCAAAATCTCCCTCATTTCCCTTTAATTAATCCCCTTAAATAGGAGACTAACTGAACAAGCCCTCAGTGTAAGGCTTACTTTCCGAGTTTTCTTTTGTTGTGTTTTTTGGTGGCTCCTATCTTTACCTTGTTTTGTAATGGCTTACTTTGTTTCAAACTCTCGTCTTCTTCACAAGAAACATGCACAACTAGCACATTATGCAAGCTAGTTCTCTAAAAGATTGAGTGTGGAAAGGATAGCCAACGTGTAAGGTTGAGATGCAAGCTACCATAGTTTGTTGTGATAAATTAGTGTTAAACATGATAATGGAGAGTGTGTCAAAAGGGAGAGTAAAATTTTCATGAGCCATCCTCGAACTTGGCAGAGGATGTCATCTTGGTTCTTCAACTCAAGAAATACAATTGTGGGTCCCTAAACTAGGCTTCGGGTGTTGTCCAATTGGGTTCTAAGTCGGCTGATGGTTTCTGTGGCTAATAAGCCGGCTGAAGCTGATTTATTGTGAGAGAAAAATATTGTTCCATGGCTGATAAGCCAGTCTGATAAGTTCAAGCGAACAGGGATCCAAAAATAACATATCTTGAGTTGGTTGACCTATATAACATCTAGAGCCTAGTTTAGGGGTCCAAAAATAACATTGTTCGAGTTGGAGGACACAGACGATGACACCCCACATCAAAAAGGGAGGACATTGAAAGCAACACTAGTCATCTCTCCCCATGAGGTTTGCTACTGCCTTCCTGAAAGGTTCTAAATGTCTAGAGAGGGGTGAATAGCCTATAAAAATTTTCTACAAATACACTAGAGCAAAGGGTTAGTAACCTAAATAGCGAAATATAATTTTGTTCTAGCTCTACAAGGGTTGTGAGCCACCTATAGCATAATTCTAGTTCTTTACAATCTCTAAGCACACACAAAAGCTATGTCACTACTCTTACACTAGTGAGCTTGCTAATTACACCTAGAATACTAACTAAGCTACACTAGCTACTCAACTACCTCTACACAAGATATTTCTAGGAAAGTAAATACAAGAGGTAGAGAGAGGTGTATGTAAGTGCAATCAAGTCCTAATGTGGGTTTTGGTGTTGATGAACACCTAATTAGAGAACTAATGAGATTTATTAAGATGACAAGCAGAAAATTTATTATAGAGGATGTTACATGGAAAGGAGGAGCCCCCAATTACAAATAAGGTCGGCATCGCGCTCGAAGGAGTTTTCAATTCTTTTGTCTTTTAAAATTGAGTATGGGAAAAGTCATACTATAAAGGGGGACACTACAACTGGTTAAAAGTGTGCAACCAAATGCTCAATCTTTACACAAAAACATCCTCACACCTTAGCCAAGACAGCCAACTTAATAACTCCTTCACCCTTGCTGTCTTGCTGGGTGCGGCAGTGCCTTTGCTGGGTGCGGCAGTGCCGCACCTGGAGAAAGGCACTGCCGCACTTAGGGGGGCACTGCCGCACTTAAGTAACCGTTGGGAGGCAGGGGGGTATTTATACTTTTCCCTGTCCTCCATAACGTCTCTCTCTTCTTTCCCAACAGTTCAGACTGACGAAAATCAGCAGGTGCTCATCTCCTCTCTCCTCCATTGGTGCCCTTCAAGCTCTCAAGCTTTTCTTTTGACTTCTCCATCAATCCTTGAGAGAAAAAGGTGCCAAAAGTGATTAGAGAGCAGCTCCACTGATTCCCAAAGCCTAAAGAGCATTTGGTTCACGTTTTGGCTGACGGTTGTGTTTGTTATTCTTGGAGCTTGGCTCCTAGCCGGCTAGAGCGTCGCTCGGTGAGCTTGCCAAGTTTGTGGCAGCCCCGGGAGGTTTGTAACCACCTCTTGTAGCGAGTAAAATCACCCCTCATCTCAAGAGTTCACTCTCTTGACTTGAGAACGAGGTAGGGTTGCAATGCCCTAAGTCTTAGTGGTATACCTCAACAACGTGGACTTAGGCAAACCTTGGTGACGAGCTAAACCATGGGATAAATCCTTGTGTCATCTTGTGCTTGTGCTGCTACACTTGTGTTCTTGTTGTTGTTAAAGTGATTTCTAGGGTTTGAGACCGATCTACTTGTGTGTGGTGTTCCCACTACTTTCAGTTGTCGATCTGTGATCTACTACCCTGTAGGAAGCTAAGAAATTTACCCAATCTAGATTTCGTTGGGTAGATTTTGAACTGTGAACTAATCTCTCTTGCTGGTGCGGCAGTGCCGCGGGTGAATTTGACTTTGGTTTGAGTTGAATTTTTACAAGCCTATTCACCCCCCTCTAGGCGTACCAAAGATCCTACAGTATACCGCACGTGGAAAGAGATGATCAATCATAATATGAATTACAAGGGAGAAATCCAATTCACAAGAGACAATCAATTTTTCTCCCGAGGTTCACGTGCTTGCCGGTACGGTAGTCCCCGTTGTGTCAACCAACACTTGGTGGTTCGGTAGCTAATAGGTATCACACACCTAGGCCAACACTTGAGCGCCTCAAGAACCTACCCACAAGTGATGTAGCTCAATGACACGCGCAATCCACTAAAGTTACCTTTTGGCTCTCCGTCAGAGAAGGTATAAGACCACTCACAATCACCGGGAGATGACCACGAACAATCACCAACTCGTGCCAATGCTCCTCCGCTGCTCCAAGCCATCTAGGTGTCGGCAAATACCAAGAGTGACAAGAAATCCGCAGCCACAACGATCCCCAAGTGCCACTAGATGCAATCACTCAAGCAAATGCACTAGGAATCACTTCCAATCTCACTTTGATGATGAATCAATGGTGAAGATGAGTGGGAGGTGTTTGCTTAGGCTCACAAGGATGTATCACTGATGAAAATGTGCAACAGGGTGAGCCCAAGGCTTACCCCTTCTATTTATAGAGCCCCCAAGGCTCAGAGAGCCGTTAGGCTGTGCAAGCGCGACCGGACTCACTGACTGGACGCATCCTAGCGTTCGGTCGCCAGCGTTCGGTCGGCCGATGGCCGCCGCGTGGCACCATGTTTAACCTCGCCCATTCATCTCCAACGGTCCCTTAACATTCACTCGCGTAGTTAAAACATGACCGGACTCAGCGCTAGAATGACCGGACTCACCGACACATGGCGTCAGGTTGAGTCCAGAAACTACACAGAGAGGTTTTTGGGTGATCGGACGCGTCCTTCCTCGCATGACCGAACTCACCGGTGCGTCCGGTCCTCTCTGCATAACTTCGCGCGCACCACACAGATGTGACTGGATGCATGAATAGAGTTCACCCAGCGTCCGGTCGCGCGTCGCCTCCTGTGTCCGATCGACCGCTTGAGCAACGCCCTCTCTGCTGCACATGACCGAACTCTGCGCTCGAGTCCGGTCCTACATCCGGTCCCAACTCAGCCCTCTCGGCTAAGTGTTGCGCCACCTAGGGTCAAGCACCGGACGCGTTCGGTCAAGTCGAGACCAGCGTCTGGTCACCTGTGAGTGACCCCTTCTCTTCCTTTTCACTTCACCCTTGCTTCCATGTGACAACACCAAAGTGTCTCACCACTTGTGCACGTGTGTTAGCATATTTTCAAGGGTCAATTGTTAGCACACAAGGTCCCTAAATGCATATGCATGAATCACTTCACCTAGTGGCACTTGATAACCGCTTAGCTAAAGATTTTCCCTCTTTATAGTACGGCTATCGATCCTAAATACACTCACACCCTCTATGGTGTCTTGAGTGCCAAAATAAAAACCTATTTGATACATTTGCCTTGATCTACACTTGGTTTTTGTTTTTCTCTTTCTTCTTTTCCAAGTTAGAGCACTTGATCTTCAAGATTGGTTACCATCATCACCATGACCATCATCTAGCTCCACCACTTGGCTTTGGACCATCCTCTCTTGTCTACACACTTAGCTCAAGGATTAGTCTATAGGTTTCATCAATTATCCAAAATCAAACTAGGGCTTTCACTTCCCCTATTGCCGAAGCCCTAGATGGTGAGGAGTAGCAGGGACCCTCCTTCGTCCAGTCAAGTCATAGTAGTTAGGGTTTAGAGAAAATAAATTGTGTCACATGAGCTATATGGCATAGTCTTCGTCAATTCATCATCGTATCTTGTTTTTTTAGAGAATTCTAGTGCAAATGCCTATCTAAAAATCCAACTCAGCCTTTGTAGGGTTCAGGCGATTGGTGGGGATGGTCATGTTCCTCGTTTGCATCTTTATGTACCTAGCTCATCGGTTTTTTATCTTGCAATGGCTGGGAAGTTATCTAGACTTAACGTGGTTGGTACCGATGGTGCTAGATTGATGGTCTCATGATCATCTTTATAACGAAGGAGGCCGGTGGCCGACTAGAAGGAGAGGGTGGGCATTTACATATCATTTTTGGTAGATAGAATAAGGAACTTCGCAATGTTATTTCTGGTACAATCAACGTCCGAAGCACACGCCATCAGAAATAAAATGGCACGATCATCAAGTCAAACCCACGACGCGATGCCGCGATCCCTCAGACACATGCATCAGCACAGTTGTTTATTTATAAACGTAAAAGGTAAAGGACACAGAGTGGCTCCCGACCGACTGCTTTCACGAGGAGAGTGACAGCAGAAATGGCCTTCCTGAATTTGGAATCTTCAGGTGACGCGCCTTGGAATTTTGGGCCTTCCCCCAATTTCCAGAATTTGGCACTATACAAAAAAAAGATTCCCTGTCACATCAAACTTATGGTACATGCATAGAGTACTAAATGTTGACGAAATCAAAAACTAATTGCACAGTTTGGTTGTACTTTACGAGACGAACGTTTTGAGCCTAATTAGTCAACGTTTGGACAATTATTACCAAATACAAACGAAACGCTACAGTAGTACTGTGGCTACAGTAACTCTGACGGCGCCGATTCCGCGCCGAGCTAAACGAGGGCTTGGATTTGGAACCATTCTGCGTCGTGGGTTTCACACCATACTTTTGGATCGATTCTTCGCCAGAGTACACAGCACAACCCCACGCGCAGATGCCAGATGGCAGCCGGCGCATCGTGTGAGGTGAGGACAAAAATGAACGTGGCTATCAACCGCGGCATCTGCGTGCGTCCATGTCTGCCGTCGGAGTACGCTATGAACGTATGCAGGAGCTGAGAAGAAATATATATATATATATATTAGGAATGAATGTATGAGCATGAACCATATATGCCTACGTACGAGTACGTGCTCATCGGTTTCTGACAGCAGGGAAAGCGAGGGCTAGTTTGGTTGCCGAAATTTTTGGTAAAATGATACTGTAGTGTTTTCGTTGTTATTTAGCAATTAGTGTCCAATCATAGTCTAATTATGCTTAAAAGATTCGTCTTGTGGATTTCGTCTAAACTGTGTAATTAGTTTTATTTTTTATTTATATTTAATATTTTATGCATACGTCTAAAGATTCGATGTGACGGAGAATCTTGAAAAATTTGGTATTTTTGGAGGGAACTAAACAAGGCCCAAGAATCCAGCAGAGCAACTGAGCAAATGATGTTTATTGTTGGTGTATATGTGTCCGCTGCCATTGTCTGGTTGCAGCCTCCAAATCATGTCACATTCACCATGGACAAAAGAAGAGAAGTGGAGATATCAAGATCAAGACATCCCCTCAGTGATCATCACAATATGTATCGACTGATAAAGATTTGAACAACATGCAACAACTGATAAAGATCGAAACGGACAACGGGAAAGGACCCTAAGCCAGTGAAAATATCAGCTGACTGGTTCATAAACTGCTCGGGAGTAGTAGAGTGGAGAGAGAGGCACAAGGATTTGGGAGTGGCTTCCACACACTTGAACAGTTTGTTTGATTCACTGGTAGCTCCAATAGAATCCATTTGACTTGACCTGTCCAGAATGCCTGCTTCGCTGCTTGCTTCAAGCAACACGATGCTTAGGACGTCAAAGATTCTTCTCGGCAGTTTGACGGCGCTTCTAGTCAAACCAGAGACTTCGTAAGCTCTAATTTCCATGCCCACTTGCACCTCCTGTTTTCAAACCAGAGAGGCAGAGAGGGACGGACACTAGCCCCACACATCAAAAACAGCCAGCTGAATTTGCCGCAGTGCCGTTAGCTCCCTTTCTCCAGTTCACACCTCACACTGCTGTAGTGCTAGTACCAGTCATGGTAAGAACACTGCTGGACTTCTGTACCTGGACACTGCTGAAAGACTTGCTCCAACTTCATCTCCCGTCCATCACTGTCCAACCATTCCAAGCTCACAGATCACAACACAGGCGAACAACTCAATTAGCCAATGCTCTATGCATAAACATGTATATATGGGCATGTTTGGTTGAGCGTCTGCCAGACAGAGACAATTCTAGAGGTTCGAAAATAGATGCCTAGGGACGTTGCCTGTGCGCTAGGCAGCTCCGACCAGGAGCCAACCAAACAGGCCCATACAGCGCGTTTGTTTCATTTTCCTTCACTCAGCCAGGATAGAAAATAAGGCTTGAGCTACGCAGTCAGTCTATGTTTGTTTGCCAAGGTGAAGGATTTTTGGCTTGATCAAAGATTGTGTTTGGTTAGCTGTTTTGCGTTGTTTTTATGATCACCTCTTTTTTCATGGGCGAGTTTAAACTCTCCAGTGCCTCCTCATCCTCGGTTGTACCGTCGAAATACTTGCTTGATGAGTTGGTCGTCGATAGCCGTAGCCGACAGCATATGGTGCAGGCTGCTCGCCTGCTCGCCGAGGTGTTCACACCAGTCAGTGTCATCGTCCCACGCGAGCACCGTTGAACACTCGTCCTCGGTTGTACCGTTGAATACTTGCTTGAGTTGGTCGTCGATAGACGACAGCATGAAGTGCAGGCGGCTCGCCTGCTCGCCCAGTGTTCCCACCAGTGTAATCGTCCCACACGAGCACCGCCCCTACGGCGGTCACCGCGCCGCCGGCTGCGGCATCCACCTCCCACTCACGGTCACCTCCGCCCCGGCGAGGCACAAGATGGAACGCCCGGCTGCTGCTGCCACGGCTGTAGGCACTGACCAGACGCTTGCTCAGGAACACCACCCGCCTACGTGAACTACTGGAGTTTCTTCGTCTTCGTGCCGGAGCGCGCGGGGAGCTGCCGCCCGAGTTCGAGCACGGGAAGCCCCTGCGCGTCAACGTCCTCCTGAAGCACATCCAGAAGACGATCACCGGTGATAGCGCCGTCTTCCATTTCCACCACGAGCCCCACTCATAGTCCTAGGCAGCAGACAGCAAGCAGCTGCTGCCAACGGACATGTCAAAGATCACACACAGTTGCCAAGTACGTAACTAAGTAACGTCTTGTTTAGTTCTACCTTAACTTCTAAAAAGTTGCTACAGTACCTGTCACATCGAATGTTTGCGGCCCATGCATGGAGCATTAAATGTAGACGAAAAGAAAAACTAATTGTACAGTTCGGTGGAAAATTGCGAGACGAACGTTTTGAGCCTAATTAGTCCATGTTTGAACACTATTTACCAAATAAAAACGAATGTGCTACAGTAGCCCAAAATCCAAATTTCACGAACTAAACCAGGGCTAAGCGACATTTTCCTCACGTCACAACTATCAACTGATCACATCAGGTTCTCGTTCTTAGCTACTACGACACTCCCATTCAGCCACTCTACCTGGTACGGAGTACCATCCACGGTTTAAGAACGAACCGACACACTGCACTCAGACGTTTAGCCTAACAGAGTAACAGCTACACAGGCAACAAAAGCGATTAACACCGGGCTCAAATTACAAGGTCAGGCCATGAAGCCGGAGTCTCCAGGGCCTCAACTTCAGGCATCCGCGGCCAGCTGCTTCTTCTGCTTCGACACCTTGGCCTGCAGCTTGTCGAGCTTGGCGCTCATGTTCCTCTGCTGCTCACTGACGGAGCCCTCCTGGGCCCTGCACATCTGTGACCTCACCTTCAGGCCGAGCCGCCGGGGCACGACGAGGGAGGCCCACCCGCCACCGCTGCCCTTGCCCGCACGGCCACCCAGCTTCTCGATCTCCTGCCGCATGCTCGAGCACTCCTTCTCCAGCTCGGCCAGCCGCATCCGCATGTTGTCCATGCCGACCTTCAGGACCTGGTTCTCTCGGACAGCCGAGACCCAGCCCCCGACCTCGCCAGACGTCGCGATGCCGCTCCGCAGAGGCCTGGAGCCTTCGAGGTTGTCGGAGACCAGAAGGCACCCTGCGATCGAGGTTCTCAGCTGGAGCTGCTCGAAGAAGAGGACTTGCACTACCACGCGCAGTGGCAGCCTCTCGTTCTGGGCAGCGTGAGTGCATGCTTCCAGGGAGAGCTTCTGGCAGTCCAACAGCCGGCAGAGCTGCTCCCTTTCAGCTTCTGATAGCCAGGAATGAGCCTGCCAACAAGGGAAGATGTGACGTTAATAAACACTTCCAAGCCTGCAAAGATATACAGTATTTTTGTAGACTAGGCATGCAGACATTTCTGTAGTACTCTGTCCAATGTTCATTTTACGATGAGGCATATTAAGACTACAGCACTGCAAAAGCAACTTGTGAAATACAGTACGCTATAGAATGTACCTTCAAGTATATATCAATGGCACGATAAAGTCCATCATCCAGTGGCCGGGCATATTCAGGGATAGCAGATGCCAGAGCTTGGAACTTAGGAGGCTTCAAATTGATATCTGGTGCAATTTCTGCAAGATAGCCGTCAATTAGCTTGGCAACACTTGTGATCGGTGCCAACGATGGGGATGCCATAACATCATCCAAGCATGGGGACTCGCCGCCATTTGCCTGGTCCATTGCCAAGAAATGATCAAGAATCCTGTGCACACACTCCACATTGTACAGAGTTTCCATTGTGTGTAGAGAAATTTGGCAACAGTAGATCCTCCAAAGTGGCCTGGTCTAGTTGCATGCCAATCCGTTTCTCCAAGTTAGAGATGCACGTGGGGCTGGCTTTCAGAATCATGGCTGTGCGAAGGAGCCCTAGCAGAACTTTTGTTGATGCTACACCCTTGTGAACGGGCAATAGCCTGTCGATCTCCTCAAGTAAGTTTTTCTGTTCAACCTCAGATAGAGTGGCCGTAGGAGCCACTGTGCCCATGCTATGACTATGACGCCTATTGAGTCCTGGAAGGTACTTCTTGGCATAGTAGGTCAAGGAACCAGCAATTATTTCAGGTCGGATGCCTCGAGACTCCATGGTCGAGATTAACCTCTTGTACATGGGAAAACTCAACGATGAAGCATCACCATACCACCAGTCTGAATTGAAGTTTCTGGGCCTTGCACCTGTGCTGATCCCATTCCACAGTACACTGCCACCTGGGCTTTGCATCATGCCATGTTCCCTTATCGGCCATCCAAAGAGGTTTGGATCAGTAGTAGCTTTTGATGCTAACGACTCGATACATCTCTTCACAATCTGGAGGTCTTCAGCATGGGGGAGTAGGTCATCACATGTCTCCAATGCTGTCAGGGAATCTTTCCAGTTACGGAGAACCACTTGGTTGAGGAACATTTCTGACTGGGCAATCAGATTTTCCTCAGCTACTTCTTCAGTCATTTCTAGATGCTCTGAGGCACATCGTAAGTAGACAACGTTTGCAGGAGAAAGCTCTATTTTCACACCATAGCAGAACCTTGCAACTAGCTCAAATGACTTGGCACCCCCAGGAATGTCATTTAGTTTGATGATGCATTCTTCTTGGTCTGAATTTTCTTCAATCGACCGTTCGAGAAAGGCACTTTTTGAAAGTAAAGGGAACTGCAATGAGATAGTCGTTGTTAGGGAGAAAACAACCAACATATAGAAAGGTTAATTAAAGGCACACATGGCAATCAAGTGACAAAAAAAGTATTGGGACAGAGATAAAAGGTTATAACCATTTTCATATTCTTTCATCAATGCCAGTAGAAGAAGCTTTACACAGAAAACACTAAGTCAAACATAGTATGATGAGAGTTTCATTCAAATCAAGGGACTGTTTATTGTTGCATCAGGATTTGGACAGAGAGCATTTGGTAGACAGGGCAAGCTAGCTAGCCACCATTTTTCTTTCTTTCTTGCATACCACAGGAAAACACAGGAATCAAGAATAATATGAAAAGAGTTTCATTAAAATCAAGGAACTGTTTATTTGTTCCTAACTTCCTATTGGATTTGGATGGATAACTTTCACGTGTTACATAAATTCTAGTCGTCTCGGATACACTTTGAATACTTTTCCACTTCCCAGTAAGTTGACAGTTTTTTTACTCCAATAAATAAAGATATAAAGAGTTTCAAATCTAGGACTCATTAACATGAAGGGCATACTTAATGGCTTATAGGCATCCACCGAAAAAAGCACAATACCTTGTGAAGGTGGAAAGACATATCCCCAACCTCAACGGTGACATCGCTAGGAAGTCCTGTTGTGCAGAACCTACAATGTTCACAAGCAGAAGAAAAGTGAAAGTTTAGATAAATTTGTACTATTCAGTAAGAAGATACGAATGATATCTTTGATGAGGTTCCTTGTGGTCACAAACAACGATCTGTGCCCACCGGGTTAATGTCAATTTCAAATAAGTTCTACATCCTATTCCTGCCTACAATCAATTCGATGGAATAATATCTTATTTATTGCAGAGTCAGGTGTAAATATATAGAGGGATTTTTGCAATATATATTTCTCACAAAAAGCCACACAATATACCAAACAAAAGTTAAGATAAAAAAACATATTTTTTTCGTTGATGTATACTACCACAAGAACAAAATCACGGAGATCCCTCTAAGCACAGGAACATCGATATAATTATGAGCAATCAGCTGGAAGGAGAATGATGGGTTAGAAATTTTGACTTTGTCCAACGAAAACAAATCAAGCATGTTCGCTTGTTTATTTCAGCCAGCCCAAACCAGTCAGCCAACAGTGTTTTCCTCTCAAAAAAAACCAGCACCAGCCAGCCCAAACCAGCACCAGCACCAACCAGCGAACAGGCCCAATATGCTCATGTCTAAATAATTCCATAATGGTTACATCAGCCTCCATTATTAGGAACAGAAGCATCTCACTGCCAACTAAATGTGATGTGGATCCATGAGACCCGCCCCATAAACTATTGGATGAAGCAGTCAACTCTAATTAACTAGAATTTCTGTCGATATAACATGTGATCAACTGCACCCACCACGCTTAAATGCATTTAGTATGCGCAATAAGGCACTCATGCAGGGTACCTAACCGTTAACCACGAAATATATGAATCCCGTTTTCTTGTGCTTGTAAAGAATAATAACAAATGCTGCTCATAACAAGACACTAGACATGTAGATAAAACAGCTGCCAATCGAACATTTTTCAGTCGGACATTACTAGACATGTACATTACAACAAAAGCAATGAAACAAATGCTTAGCTGCAAGAGCCCACAAGGCAGGCAAGCTTTGAATTCTGAATTCTGACAGACACTTAAAGGGCCCGGTTGGACAAAGGAGGATGCTCTGGGAATATTTCGTACTCCTATTTGTGTTGATAGTTCAAATTTTGAACTGAATCTCAAGGACTCGGATCCCAGTGCACCTATCCAAAGAGACCCACTTGTACCCGGAGTACTACCAATTGCAACCACCAATTTGAACAAAAGAAACACCTATTGCTCCCAGAGTTCTTCTGCTTCCATGCTTGGGCGAGCTGAAGAACAGTGGGAAGAAGACAAGCAAGCCCAATAATTTACTAGAAAAAAATGAAAGGTAATACGACACCAGAGAAAACTCGGGATGCACACACACAGACACAGAACTACTACTCCTGTCCTAGAGAAGAACTGAACAGAGGGCGACAGCGTTGCGAGGCATGAGAATGCCCCTCGTCAAGTTAGGTTCAGGATGCAACAAATGCCTCCCCAGAGGAGCGCGGCGAAGGCGTCGTGCAGTACGGGCAAACCAGTTGACCTGCGGCATTTTCGGGACAGGGCCGCCGTGCAAAATCCGCACCAATTTGAGCAGGAACACGAACCCACCCGGAGCCTCCCGAATTCCGAGGCATCAGCAGGTAGGAGGAGAGCGGAGGGAGCAGGAGGGCAACAGAGGCCCAGTTAATCCGCCCAGGCAACCATGGAGGGAGAAAGGGACACCCAACCCCAAGGAAACTCGGGAAGATGATGATAAGGAAAGCGCTGGAGGAAGGGGAAGAAAAAAGGAGAGAGAGGAGAACTTACCATGCCTGGCCTTGCCGCTTGAAGGCGTCAGGTTTGGAGCCGAGCTTGACGGACGCCATGGCGGGCGGGCGGAGAGCAGGTCCTGCTGGTCGACGGAAGCAGGGAGAGTCGCGGCGGAGCAGAGCACGCAGGGGACCTCGCCCGCGCGCGCAACACCCGACCACCGCTCGCTAACTCCGGAGGTCAGTCACGCCATGGGTGTGCTCCCCGGCCCCGAGCTCTCTCTGTCTGTCTCTCTGCCCGAAAGGAGGGGGGAGGTGAGCGTTGCAATCCTGCTTTCGGGCAGCACAGCAGCAAAAGCGACCTAATCCAACCACCCCCAGCCCAGGAAACCACCAATGCGGGCAGTTAATGCCGGGGTGGTCACAGCACAGAGGCGTGTGAGGGGAGGATGCGCGGGTCGCAGACAGAAGCAGGCGTGAGGAGGAGGGTGGGGAGAGTGGAGTCGGGGTAGCAGGCGCGGCAGGTGGCAGGTTCTACATACATGTGGGGGATATCATCGCTCTTTGTTTCTGTGGGGGAGGATTTGTTTGGGGGTTGGGGGCCAAAGAAGACAGCGGCGAGTGTGCCAGCCAAGCGGGGGGAGGAGAACCGGAACTCTCGGTCAAGGGACACAGAGGAAGCCATAATTATAAGCTGCAGACAAATCCTCTGCAAGCAAAAAGGCGAAGCAGCTAGAGGCCTGGCCTGCGGGGCGGGGCGGGGCGGGGGGTTGGGGAAGAAGACAACGCCGCCCGTCCTCAAAGCTGAGGCTGATCGGTCAGGTCAACAGGCTGCTCCTGCCATAAAGCGGCAAAGTGTAATGGCGCAAAACGACGGCATGCACGGAAGAAGAAGAAACGGGAGATAATTAAAGATAACAACGCTACAAATCCCCTCTGGACGGAATAGAAGAGAAGAAAACGGACACTTTTATTTTACGCGAACGGGAAACGGCAGATGAGATGCGCGCGCGCCGTGCGCGTGGTTGGGATTTGGGACTTGGGAGCGGGGGTGCATGGGCGGGCGTGGCGTGGGCTAATCTGGGGCCGCGCCCACAGAGATTCGCAGCCGCTTTTGTTTAACCGTGTGGATTTTACAGGATTGCCCACCGCTTCGACTGTCCCGTTGTCGGATTGTTTCTTCTTGTCCTTTGGTTTCAAAAAGGCTCCGTTGTGGACAAGGGAGCTGGAAAGTGCTCCTTGTCCCGGATTTTGCCCTTTTACGTCAGTACCCTCTACACTGTACTCCTACTCCTTTCTTTTTCCACATTATTACTACATCTTGGCTCTTGGCTGCTTCTGCAAAAGAGCTGCATGAAAAAGCATAAACATTCACAGCACATATTTTCTGGAAAAAAAATGACGAAATAATAATATGCTCAAGTATTTTTTTCGGCTCTGATCGGTTGACACTGATGCTGTGGCTTTGAAGGGTGCAGCCTGCAAAGCACCAGCCAACGCCAATAGCAAAGAGAAACGGGACCATTAGCAAAGAGAAACGGGACCATTAGCAAAGAGAAACGGGAAGCAGCAAAAAGCTGCAGGGGCTACAGCTACAAGTAACGTTTCCGATCACGCCGTTCTCTCTACTGTATATCTCTAAGATAACCCAGAGTTGATTCCTGTTGCCATGCATTTCCCATCTCTGAAAAGCATTTTCCATTTCAAATATATACCTCGACCGATAACCGATGGCATGCAAATAAGAAAACTTGTAAAATAGTACTATATATCGGAGGCAGGTGGCTATGTGCCCGTTGTATGACGGATTTATATGGGGGACACCGGACAGAGATGCCATTCGACATATGGCGCATTAACAATTGTTTTCCTCCATGTTAAGTACGTTTACTTCCTCTAATTTAATCGTCCATGTGGCTGGTAGAGGATGCATAGCTTTTGTTTTATCATCCTCATAGTGCCTGATTGGCTGATATTAAAGCCGACTGATAAGTCGGTTAAAACTGATTTATTATGAGAGAAAAATACTGCAGATTCTAGCTGATAAGCTGGCTAATAAGTTCAAACGAACGGGCCCTAAGATTCTAACCAAAGAGAAACTGTAACAACGTGGTGGATTCGGTACAAAGTGTGGTTCAAGTGGTCCATCAGATGAGGTAGCGGAGGAGAGGGGACCGACACAAATTATATACACGTACATTGTCTTCTCCTTTTTATGACAAGTAACGCCATTGAAGTAGCACGGAGCATGGAAATAATCACTTGGGTGTGAAAACCTTTTCCTGAAAATTCATTGGTGCCTGTTCCCAATCGTCTACGCTGGGTAGAATGAGAAAATTGTTCTGTTCAAGTGTGTAGCGTCCGAATTTTTTATTTTTCACCCTTTTTTAAAAAAAAATATTCGTAAATAGGCTCTTGGTGGTTTGATTTTTGTTTATGGACCTTGATCTCGGCGCCGAGGAAACACATCTCGGCGCCATTAGGTCTTGACAAGACGTCGGACGTGGTGCTGACCTGGCACCGACGTGGACAAGGCATCGGCGCCATAGATCTTGACGTTTGAAATGAATCAAATATAATTGTTTCGAGAAACATGCAACGATACCATTGCGGTTTAGCTGGTTAGGACACGCGTGAGTTAACTCAAACGCCTGGTTCGATCCCTAGCGCCGAATCTTTTTTTTTTCCTACATTTTTGGCCCGCCGGAAGCGCCGACCTCATCCATGGCCCGCCGAACTTCCTGCTCAACAGCAACAGTAAGGTACGGCTGCCTGGACCAATCCTCCTTCCGCCCGCCTGCCAAAATCTCCTCTTTCCACGCCGTTCTTGTTCGCCATCGCTTACGAAGACGTGTCCTTTCTTATTACAGAGCAGCAAGGAGGGAGGCAGGACCAAGCCGGCGGAGGTGGGGGAGGAGGAAGACGGTGGCTGCTGGGCGGTGTTCGGTGGGTCGCCGCCGGCGCGCGCGGACAACCCGCTGGTGCACGACCCCCACTTCCTGCTGAACCAGCGCCAGCCCGCGGCGGACCCAACGCCGCTGGAGCTCGGATTTTTTTACCACCGGAGCCGCACCAGCTACGTCCACCGCCCGACGTATAGCAGCAGCAGTAACAGCAGTTTTGCCCCGTCGTCGTTCGCGCCGGGCGTGAGGATCCAGGGGTTCGACGTCGCCGCGTGCCGGAGCTCCCACAGCAACGGCGGCAGCCGCGTGCTGTCCGCCCGCGCCTGAGCGAGCTCCGGCCGGGGCGGCGGCGGCGCCGAGCAAGACCTCACGAACCTTGTACAGTTTTCGCCAGCCGGCCGTCGTACGACTTCCACCACGATGATGATGCTACGTGTGCTCCGTTCGTCTTTTCTTGTGGTATATACAGCAGCGGGTTTTTCATTTTTATTAACAGCAGTTCAGTTCAATTCAGTAGCTTGTTCGGTTGGCTGGTTCGTATCATTGTTGATTCGTGAAGAAGTACTGCTGTTTAGTTTGTGCAAGAGAAAAATATTATTCTGACTGAAAATTTATGATCGTTTACGATAAACCACAGCCAAATGAACAGGCTAAGATCAGATCAGAATAGAGAGGGGGCGAGGAGAGATGAGATCTCCTCCTCCCGCCAAGAAGAGTACTACTAGTAGATTGATGTTCGCCGATACCACACGACACAGCAAGAGGGATGGTCAAAGGGAGAGAAGAAACTGAAAAAAAATTCCTCATATTTTTTTACTGGGTTTTGTCAGCAAGGTTTTCTAAGATGTGTTTTGTGTTCGTGTTGTAAACTAGTATAGCATGGATCGATCCATCTCTTGTTCGTTGCTGTGATCTGGGTGCCCTACCTGTAGATATAAAATCAGCACTCAGGTCAGTCAGCGTTCGTGTTCTTGTAGTTGAGGAAAAAAAGATGTCAGCTTCTCGCTTTGCTTAAGCGAGCGACGAAGCTACCGCCATGTAACCATGGTTGTACTCCTACAAACAATATGTATAAAGAAACCGTGTGCATACACATGATATATTAATTATGCAGTGATCATCATCAGAGCCCGGAGACCGGCGGATCTTGAGCGCCGCTGCCTCGTGTGTTGATACGTATCTTGTGATTCTTTTTGTCGATCGAGGGGAAGGGGGAAAAAGAAATCCTTTCGTTCGAGCAGCTGGATGCTCGCTGCCTGCCAAGCTAGGCGAGGGCGGTTAAAAAATTCTGGGGTTCGAACCCAGCCCTTCCAGCTAAGTTGCACGTGTCCTAACCAGTTGAACCAGTGAACCGTAATAAACGTTGTCGTAGGTTCCTCGGAACAATTATACTGGTTTCATTTTAAACCCCAAAATCTATAGGGTAATAGTTCGGCGCTAAGATCTACGACGCCGATGCCTTTGTCCACGTCGGCGCCAGGTCACTGCCACGTTCGACGCCTCGTTAAGACCTCGGCGCCATTGGCCATGGCGCCGAGACGTGTTTCCTCGGCGCCACCAGGATCCATAAATGAAAATCAAACCAACAGGGATCTATTTGTGAATATTTTTCAAAACAAGGGCTGAAAAATAAAAAATTTGGGTGTAGCGTGGGCAGTAGGTAGTTCCGTTGAATTGAAAAATAAAGAATGGGAAATAGCAGTGGACACAAGGTACAATATCCCTGCAGTCTATTATAATACAAGTCCCATTGTTGTCGTATTAAAGAACAAAACCATATTATATAGAGAAAATAAGAATAATAATGAAAAAAATATGCCTCTGTTGAATTGTATAGTACATCCACTGAAACTTTACTGGCATAAGAAAACTCTAGGTTTTTGTTGCACTGAATTTACGGTGAAAATACTATGGCAAAGATTTATAAACTAACTTTAGCAGCAATTATCTTACAATTCATAGGGAAGAAGTGGAAAGGCATATCGAGCGTATGCTCTGCATCATTTATGCAGAAAAGACAATGGAGGTGGCAAGGAGCAGAGAGGAGACAAAAACAAATCGAAGGGATGGGGCCGTTTGCGAAATAACCTTCAATTGCTTGCACTTGTCTTTGTAGGTTGTCTCCATGGCTATTAGCACTGTCAACGCCGTCTCGTGGGTTGAAGTATTCTTTTGGTCATTACATTAGTTATTAGTACTTCCTTTGATCACAAATATAAGTTAACTATTTTAGCTTTGACTATAGATATTTGGCATAGGGTTGATAACTTGATATTACCATATTTGTCTTGAAAAAGTAATCTATTAAGAGTATAAGACTTTTTTTAGGAAACAGAGGTCAAATTTTCAAACTCATTGACCATGTTGATGCGCTAAACTGCTTACGTTTGTAACTAGAGGGAGTCACTACCAAACTGGTGGAGTACATGAGAATTCTCTCCATGAGGCATTTAGTAGGGAAAAACTTTTAGTAAATGATGAATGCTAAATACCAAGAGAACCCCACGTCACTAGAAGAAGGTGCAGATTCTTGTTGTGAGTAGTGATACGTGGTTAGCCAGTGCTGCGTAATTTGGTTACAGCCAAACTGTCAAAGAACATGATCCGCCTCTTGCAATCAATGCCAGCCTCGAGATGCCATTCTAGTTCTAGATTACATACATGCACAGGGCACAACAACCAGAACTCTTTGTTTCCATTGTACCATCGGCGAATGGCGATGACTCTCTTTCTTTCAAAAAAGAAAAATAGCGATGACTCTCTCAGTTGCAACATTCCCAAGGATAAATCAAGGCCTTCAGCGCAAGCAAATGTTTGTCCACCACCCCGACATGTCAAGCTAGGCACAGGGCATCGTATAGTACACCGTGCCACACGTACGACCTGGGACGGGGAACCGTGCACCCTAGCGTAGGCTGGCGTACGTGGCCGCCGCGGCGCGCTCGCTTGTGCGTGCAGACGCCGTTGCCCTTGCCCGCCTCCCGCGCGCGCACGTGCTCGAGGTCAGCGCTCGCTGAGACCTTGCCGGCCAGGCGGCTAGCCGCCACGCATGGCATGGCATGGGGGCCAGCGGGGCGGGTCAACCGGTGAAGCTAGCAGTTTCTCCGTGGAACGGCGAGCAGGGTGCATGTACTAGCAGCGCGGTCGCTTGCCGTTTCGTCCACGGGGGCGGCGACTCCCGCGCTCCCATGCGCCGCGCCGCGCCGCGCTCGCGGCAGCGACGGTCCGGTAACCGAGCGTGCGCCACGCGCGCGATCGCGTTACCGTGCCGCCGCCTCGTCTGTAAAAGTGATCTCTGATCGCGCGAGACCGCGAGTGGCGTCTGTACCGCGACGCGAATGGACGCAATTCACCGCGTCAGGGCGCAGGGTGAAATCTCGTTAAATCTCAGCACCTCTTGTTAGCACTGTGCTCTGCACCTCTTGCAGCCAATCAAATTTCATCTCGCTAGCGATTTAATCCCCCGTTGGGGACGCCCCAGCTGCAAACAAACCAGCCACCATGTTAGACGCCATCTCCTCCTGTGAGGTGACAGTGTCCGTGAGTGTGCCGTGAACGTGAGTGTGAGTGATACAGTAACTGTTAGGTATTTTGGTTTTTTTATTCTTTTGTCCATCTATCTAAAACAAAGGACTGGTGTATTTTCAAAAATTTTAAGTAGATGCTAGAAAATAAGCACAATATATTTTGTCTATATCTGACATCATACCACTTGTAGTTTCGAAATAAAGAATTATTCCCATAATATTTTAGATTAGCATGTTTAGCCTAAAAATGGACTCCAAAATTCCAGAAAAAATATCTAAATTCATGGTTTAGAAAGTAGAATTTTGTCATTTCTCAACACAGAACACACTAAGTCCATGGACAGGTACCACCCACAAAGAGTATGTCATACTATAGGAGAAGGCATGACAAACTACTCGGTCATGCCATCCACTTTGGCGTGACACCGTCTGGTATCGTGCCACATCAATATCCAACATGAAAAACATCCTACATGGAAAGTGATCTCTGGACATGCTAACGTGTCTAATTAGTCAAGTGATCTCTGACATGCTAACATGTCTAAGTCTATTTAGTCACATCAACACATGGCACTACTGAAGTTACGAACTAGTCACATCAACACATATGACATGACTGAAATTACAAATCACGCCACGGCCTCCAACGTGACTAAAAAGGGCTATTTCTTGAAAATTTAGTTTAGGATGTGCTCTTTTTAAAATATTAGTTTTTTAGGTTAAAATTTTTAAAAAAATCGTCAAATGGGTGGAGAATACGCAGGGATCAGCACCACCGGTCAAACGTTTTCAACGACCGGTATGACTGTTGGCAGGCAGCGCAGCAATGCAAAGGCTGTTGATGCACAATGCAATCCTGCAAATCGTCAGCGAAACATTTTAACATTGACAGAGTTAGCGTGTTCACAGCAGTGCAGGGCCCAGGGTATGCCTCTCACAGTTCTCTGAATGGCGTTGTAGCGAGCAGCTATTGCTGCTACTGGTGCGCTTGGAGGCTGGAGCTTCACATGGCTCCCACTAACATAAGGCGATACAATCACCGGGGCAGCTGCTTTAAGCCGAGCAACCGTAACAACAGTAAACATGTACAGTTATACAAATCTAGCTGGCACCTGCAGAAACGCTGGTCCAGAACACCCGAGAGTCCGAGTAGCATCAACCTTAGACCATCTGCAAATGGACACCAAGGCGTTAGAATTTGATGGACCAGCAGATCACATTACCAATTTCTTTCTTATTTGTTGGATCAACCAATCTGTCATCAGCAGACAGGAACATCAGTGTTTATGAAATTTTACTCGTTGGAGAAGCTAATACATTCAAATCAGAGAGGTGCATAATGTAGGGAATTCCAATTGAGACACTCTGCGAAGTGGTTGCTTTCTCCAAAGGGTTCAGCGGATACTTTTATCCTCAAATCTAAACATGGGTCATAAAACTGCACACAAGAATAATATGCTATATATATCGAGGATACATACAAAGATAGCAATAAACTTTCTGAAAAGCTGTCCAATACTAGGTTTCTTTTGCAGGTGGTTCACAGTATTAGAATATACAAGATACAAAATGCATTGCAAATTATTGTTCACTTTAACTTTTTCCTAAGTCAAACTTCTCTAACTTTAACCAAGTTTATAGAAAAAATGCACTAACATCTACAACATCGAATTAGTTTTATCAAATTCTTTATGAAATGTCTTTTGATAGTGCATTTATTTAAATTTGTACATGTAAATATATTTTTCTACAAACAAGTTTGACTTGGGACAAAGAAGTGAACTATATAATTTAGAACAG